TTAACAGTAGTCCCTATTTGGGTGCTTTGGGGCCAATGTATATACTATATGGGTACATGGACCCTTAGGGTCCCTTAGAGCTAAAAAAGGGGCCTTAATAATTAGAATAGGGTTTAGGGGGTCCTTTATAGTATAATTATATGAAGGGGCCCACCAAAATAATATAGGTCATTATTATTATTGAGGCCCCTGCATTAGAAGGGCTCCTATTGAAGGGATAGGATTTCTTAGGGTTTAGGGTTGTGGGTTTATCTTCTTTAGACCCTAAGCCCTGAACCTCTTAGGTGAAGTGCTGCTTGGTTGCAAACTATTTCACAAGCTGTCGCTCGTTCTTTCTATGTGGGAACCCAAAGCCCTAGGTTTGGGGCTTAGGGTTTTTGGGTTTAGGGCTTTAGGGCTTTAGAGTTTGAGGGTTAAAGGTTCAGGGTTTGGCTTAGGGTTAGGGTTTCCCTAAACCGTAAACCCTGAACAGCCCTATAAACCCAATGATTTCGACCTTTTTCTGCCTCGACCGGGTTGACGAGGTACAACAACGGGCTTGCTGCTGTGAGTCCTGGGAAGTGCCGTCCAGCTGTCTCCAGGGCGTCTTCAAAGGCGCTCATGCTCGCATTCACCTGCCTTAGGGGTTGAATACCCTAGCGGAGGGTTTAGGGTTTAGGGAAAGTTTACCTTATTTAATTTATGGTAGGATCACAAACACCCCCAAAAAATACAAGGTTACCTACTCAGCTACTAAGATGCAGCATACCAGGCATGAGCTGCTCAAGGTCAGTAACGAAACCGCAGAGGCCCGAACTGGAACAGCTCGGGGTTTGGGGCGGCTGGGGAATGCTGCCTTAGTTGCTGAGTGCATAAGCCCCCCAAAAAGTGTACATTTTCAGTTCCATAAGGGATCATATAGTCCCCAAAAAGTGTAAAGTGTACTCACTCAGCTCCTAAGCTGCTGGTGTTCGCAGTGATCGCCCATGCGCAAGCACGTGGCTCGACACAGGATTGTGGTAACCCGCCGTCGGGACCGTCATCATCACATTGGAACACGGGTCGCACCATAAAGTGGCAGTCTTCCTGCAGGTCTGGTTGATTGCCCCCGGCTATGGCGAAACAAGCCGTGATGTTGATGGGAAAGGCAGGCATCGTACGACCATGCTGGGTGAGAGCGCCATCTCGGAAGTAGATGCTTCCCCGGAAGTCCTTCCATTCCTCGACGTTGCATACATCAACTTGACGCAGCGGTTGGCTGCCCTCCCAGAAACGCAAACAGTGACCATTCTTGCCAGCAGCCAGGGACCTCAACCCAAGAAAAATCGGCAAGGAAAAAATCCAATGATATCGGCCAAGCTGGCGTCCAAGTATTTCCACCCAGCTGAAATAGTTGACGAGCTCACCTTAGTTGCTGAATTCGTAAGCCCCCAAAAAGTGTACACTTTCAGTTCTATAAGGGATCATATAATCCCAAAAAGTGNNGTGTACTCACTCAGCTACTAAGTCACCGAATACTAGACAACCCAGTTGCACGGCGAGATCTAGCCAGATCCCAACGACAGCAATTGAGCGGATCTCGGAGACATATGTCACCGCGATGGCTATCCAAACATACACGGATAAGATGCTGCAGTTCAGAATATGTATGTTGGCGATCTGGACATCGTCGTCCATGGGCCAGAGAGCTCGACCCCCTCTATTCGGTTTAGGGTTTATAGGGTTTNNTTTAGGGTTTAGGGTGTAGAGCCATGTTCCCACTAGTATGTTCGATTTATCTAACGGGGTGGTATTGGAACTGAAACGAACTGAGCGAGAAACCACGCGGGACCCGAACGGAGGATGAGAGTTTAGCACATACGTTCATGAGCTTCGTCGCACGATAGACCATTCGTTCCAGTTACCCGTCTCATACAGCACACCACCGAAACTATGCGAAAATCTGTACCTTACAGCTAAAACCCTAACCGTTTAACCCACAAGCCTAATGCAGGCGGACTATATTCCCCACCTCTTCATCCCCTCCAGTGACCAAACATACATCCGGCAGAAATGAGCTCCGGTCCTGCACCCAACTCCCACCCCCCCTTCCGCTCGCCCCCCCC